GCAATTTCGAGGTAAAAAAATGCTAAAGTCATCAAACGATTGCGCATTTCTCCTCTTTAATAACGAATAATTAACATACAAAATGATCCCAAACGATGCTTAATAAAAATTCTTTTCATTTAATGAAAATGATTCAACGTAATAACTTTTTTTTCTTTCATATGTAACCTTAAACTTCTAGAGATATCATTTCGTGTATGGTCAGTAAATTATTTTTAACAACGCGAAAACTTTAAACTTTTGTTGACATTTCATTTAAATCTGGATTTTAGGGAACAAAAAAATTCGGTTCTCACAATACTTTTTGTTTTGCTCAAGTGAAGATTATTATTAGATTGCTCATAAATTAGGACTGAATATTTATTATTGAATTGCTTAATTTCGACATGAGCATTTGTTATGATTATCGGATTTGGAGGAATTTTTCAGATGCTGTGAAATGGAAATCAGATTCCTCAATGCATTTTTAAAATTGGAAAATTGATAATTTGAAGTGTTTTAAGAGTTTTGATTTACTTAGATCAGTGTTGCCCAAACGGTGTGCCCCAACACTCTAGAAAATTTTTGGTAATGACGCAAGCCGCATGTTCTGTGCGACTTTGATCACGGCTTGCCCTTAAAGTGTGCCGTGGCTCAAAATCTTTGGACAACACTGACTTAGGTTATCATGGTACAACATATCATCAATCGCAGTGCCGTTATTGCTCTAAGCAAAACCCTGCATTACATTCTATTCTACTTAGATCAAGATCTAAGAATAAGCTTGAAATTATAAGATCAACATTTAAGTTTCCCAGAACAATATTTTGAAGTTTTCAGCAGTTTTAAGATTAAACCGTAAAATTTTGAATATAATGTTTACTTTTAAAGATCAGCTTATCCCTAAAACAATCCAAGTATCTAAGCAATTTGCAAAACACACCTTAAAATATCAATTTCAATAAATTGTCATTTCCTCGGAAATTTGACCATATTTTCTTCTAAAAATGTTAATAAAATGCATCAATTGACGTAAATAGCCAATTCAAGAACATATAATTCAAGACGAGCACACAAAAAAAGTTGTAAAAAAAAATATTTTCATGTACACGAAATTTATAAACGCAATAAGAGTCAAAAAACGTGATTAATTGAACATAATGATTGTTCACTGCTACCACATGACAGAAAAGTTTTGTTTATTTAACGACTTTTATTACTCTCCTTTTATATTTTGCAAGATAAATAAGAAAAAATATATATTTTGAATCGAATTGTCGTGATTGTTATTCCGAATGAGTTTGACACCCATTGCTTCACTTGCTTCTGCTTTTAATGGACTTTAATAAGCTCGTCATCATACTTTAATCATCTGCTACTCTTTTATATGATTTAAATGACAAACTCGAGAGTATCTGAGACCAAATAAAGGGAACGTGACGGTTAGTAAACGATGAGCCATAAATATCCTTAAGGGTCGTTCATAAATGATATCAATTGGAAGTTTAAGATATCTTTTTAATGTTTTCAAGAAAATTTAATACTAGCTTCTTCAGTCTAATAATTAGACAATACCAAGCCCTCATCTAATATTTGACGTCATTTATACATTGACCCTTAGCGACAAAAGGATAATTTACCACAATTTTTTCTCTCGAAAGCCTCCTTCTTATCTTCACTCATAACCATTTGTAATAATTTTGACCTTTCGACATAATCGGTACTTATCATAAATTTTCATTTATCTCGATGAGGAATTTTAATGCCAATAAAAAAAAAATCTTTATAAAATTTCAAATCTGGTTTTTGTCGGGTCTGCACATAAAAAATGAAAACGAAAACCCTCCAAAAAAATACTCAGCAAACACAATTGTTCCATTTAAGAATTGAAAGTCAAAGTCTTTTTTTTCCATTTCTTAATTAATTTTTTCAGTCATCGACGTATGAGTGTCGGAACCACTTTATGCATATAAATTATTTAGCTAGAAAATTTTTCTGTCTTCTTTGCACTTCTTTCGATAACTGTCGTGCGTAATTTTTTTTTTTTCGTGTAAGTTATTTGCGAAAAAAAATCGGTGTTTCGATTTGAAAAAATGATTTAAAATTCAAAAAATGTGCGTCATTCTAAAAGCGATTTTAAGTAATCGCAGGTGATGATTTAGATTCACTTTATACGCAGTTGAAGTTGTCGCACAATTAAATTTAATTATCGTGTTAAACGGTTATTGCACCTTGTAAGTGATTCGGTGAATTTTTTACTAGGAATGTTATTTGAGATGAGATGAATCAGTGGTTTGGAGATTTAAATATAGTTTTTATGGCTGATTGGTATTATTAAGATGGAATTATTTTTTTGTTTTTAAAAATTTTTGATTGCTTTTCTTTTGGATTCATTCTTAAATGATGTTCTTTGTTGCTTTTGTCGAAACATTATTGCTTTTCGTTCTTAAGATTTTAAACCAACTATTTTAGAGCTTATTTCGTTTATTTTCAATTTTGATTTTTGGATTCTAAATAGTTTTTTCCAAATTTATTCGAAATATTATGAAATTTCAAATAAATTATTTTTTCAAATTTTTGAGTCCAAAAACAAACTTTAATGAATTACGTAACAAATTCTAAGCAAAACATTTTATTTTTAAAAATAATTTTACTGTCATTTAAATGCGAGAATATTTTTCTTATCAAATATATTCAAGGTTGCAACACTTATTCATTTGCGTATAATTAAGAATCATAATCTCTATTTTAGGAAGTATTTTTTTTCTAATCAAATATTTTACGGTAATCTTTTTAATACATGACTTAAATACTTAAAATTTCTTAGAATTTTAAGTAATTTCCATTTTATCAAAATATGAATATTTATTTTTTTTTTCAAAAATTCGTCCTAATTCATTTTAAATTTAACTCTTTGCAAACTGAATAAGAATTAAATTTTCATATAATTTACGCGAAATTATTTAAAAAATGATTTAAATTCAAATTTTAATGTCAAACAATAAAGCCAACTTTTTTTAAACTTTATAAAATTTATTTGAACATAAAAATATTTCCTTAGTTTTTGAAATATCAAAACACACTGTTGAATTTAAATCAAAATTAAAAAATATTCACTATTCATTGTTAATCACCTTAAGTACTTGTTTTACTCGCACATTTTTTTTGTCAGATTTATTTCACTCTACAAATATTTATTGTCTAAGGTCTTTGATTTTACATTTAAGCAAGCAAAAAAACATAATAAAGCGCTTCGGAGCATCCAATTGCCTTCAAATAAATAAATTCCTTAAATAATACTTTTTTTGCTCTCAATTAGAGCTTGAAATTCGCACATTTACGCATAATGTTGTAAATAATTTTTTTTCTCGCACATAATTTGCTTTTTTTATTGCACATATCAATCAATTCCAATTATGTCGAAGAGAGCGTCTCAGAACGCCCGTCAATTTTATGTCATCTCAATGTGACAATATTAGAAAAATAAATTTATTTCAGACTTACCCGATAAAAAAATCTCTCTCTAATGTATTGGAACAAAAATTTTTATGTTTATCAATTTATGGTCTTATGCACTTTATGATCGACTGTTAAATTTTATGTTCTTAATTTTTTATCTTCCTTTATTTTCATTCAGTATTATTTTAATGCGCGAAAAATTTCTTTATCACTTCACAAAGACAACTTTTCTTTCGTGTCCGATTGCAGCCAAGTGAGCGATTCAACTGATCGATCCACAATAAAAAGCGAGCGAGAATTAACATCCAAAATAAAATATACGAAAATGAAAAATATATAATAACGTTGATCATCGAAATATAAAAGTGTTGAGCTTTTTGTAAATGAGATCGTAGAAATAAAAATGCAATTAAGAATTCTGTGGAGAGCTTTGGTTTGAGATGTGAAAGCTCTGTTTGAATATTGACGGTTGAGGCTTGAAATGATCAAATTGATGAATCTTGATTCGACTTTGTTTGACTCTTTGAATGTTTTATTATTTTAATATCGACTATTGATTACTTGTCAACCTTAAATTGTAGTGAACCGATGAAAAATCTCTTTAATACAGATTGTAAATCTTTTAATCTTTAATTAATGCTGCAATCATATTACGTTTGACTCTAATTCTACTCTGTTTTAGATTGGAACAAATCTTATAATTTCACTAAAATTGAAAATTTAAACTTTTTATAGTAACTTCTTTCCAATATTCTAATAATATTAATTGGTTAAACAATCTCAAACTTATAAATCCTGAATCTGAAAAAAAAGTAAATTCAGATCCTCATTATTTTTCAGAGAAAATACATCGCAATCAACTGTAGAGCATTCAACTATTAAAAAACTTTTAAAATTTCCGTTTGATGAACGTTCACTCTATAAAACTTGAACAACACTTGCCAGGATCAAATAATTTCTCAAAAACTATTCTAGCTTCCGTTCGTTATTATTCATTATAATTGCAGCACTAAAATTAAAATTTTATGCATTACTGAGATTATGGAAAGCTATAATTAAAATCTGAAAAATGAATGACTCGAGAGTCCTCAATGTTCAGCTGTATGATATGCAATACTTATCTTAATTACGATTTTACGAAATGACTCGCAATTTGTGTGCACTTGTTATGATGCTTGTCGTCTTCCACTGTTTTAAATATTTCTCTGACTGCTGACAAAGAACCTCTCTTAACATTACAAAGGTTTAATGTCAAGTGTCCATTAGATACGCTTGGAAATTTCTTTGATTATTTTTGTTTTAATTGAAAAATGCAAATTATTTTATATTTAATTTATAAATCACTTTTAACGGTCAGAAATTATTTAAAATTTGTCTTAGTATATGTGAAACACACACAATCAAAGCACCAATCAGCTGGCATCAAATTTAGAGCTGAATAGAAGTATTTTGCACACAAAATTTCTCTTATCATTAAGCACGTAGAAGAGAGTCGCACGCAAACTATAATTAATAAATTTTACCTCAATTTTGTTGTGAAATATCGAGTGATTTATACTAAAATGCAATTTCAGGCAAAGGTGAGATAATCATTGTCATTTTAAGACTATTTTGGATATTGAACAATTCCGATTTCATAAGATTTATTTAATTTACTTAAATTCTTATCAAAAGTCTGACAAGATTCTTATTAACCTTGAATTTTTCCTCTTTCTAATCTTGTATACGATCACGTTTAGAACTTTCCAGCCCTTAAAAATGACAATTTATTGCGTGCGGCTCGTGGTGAAGCTGTCGATCGAGTTCCGGTATGGGTAATGAGACAAGCTGGTCGATATTTGCCGGAATTTAAGGAAGTACGTGCTGAAGCTGACTTCTTTAAAGTTTGTCGTACCCCAGAATTGGCTGTTGAAGTAACCATGCAACCAATAAGGAGATTTGAACTCGATGCATCAATTATCTTCTCTGATATTCTTGTCATTCCACAAGCTCTCGGTATGACCGTAGAGATGAGACCTGGACATGGTCCAGTTTTTCCAGAACCCCTCGAATCTACACAAGACATTGCTAAATTAACCCCAAATGGTGCTGTTGAACGTCTTCAATATGTTGGAGATGCTCTTACTCTTATGAGACATACATTAGAAGGAAAAGTTCCACTTTTTGGATTTACTGGTGCCCCATGGACATTGATGGGTTATATGGTTGAAGGTGGTGGAAGTAAAACAATGTCAAAATCAAGAGCTTGGCTCAAAGACCATTCCGATGAATCTCGTAAACTTTTGAATCTTCTTACTGACGTTTGTGTTGATTACTTAATCATGCAGATCAAGAATGGTGCTCAGATTTTACAAATCTTCGAATCAAGTGCCGAATATATTACAAAAGAGGAATTTATTGAATTCGCATTGCCATGTTTGAAAGATATCCGCGTCAAGCTTCATGAAAAGATTGAAAAAGAAGGAATTGAGAAGGTTCCATTGGTTGTGTTCGCAAAAGGTGCTATGCACTCACTCGCTGAAATGACTGAACTTGGATATGATGTAATTGGACTCGATTGGTCAATTGATCCAGAAGAAGCAAGAAAAATTGTTGGACCTAATGTCACACTTCAAGGAAATCTTGATCCACAAGATTTGTACAAGACACCTGATGAGATTCGTCAATTAACAAAGACAATGGTCAATAAATTTGGAAAGAACCGATACATTGCCAATCTTGGACATGGAATCACACCAGCAACACCAATTATAAGCATGACAACATTCGTTGATGCTGTTCATTCCGCCTTTGATAATTAAAATGCATTTATATTTTTGTTTCGTGACAATTTTTTTATGTTTTTGATATTTTTTACGGGTTACATTTTTAACAAATAAAAATGACGATCAAATGAGAATTAATTAATTAATCTGTAGTATGAATTATTAAAGTTGTTGAGCTGTTAGCGACTCATCAAAATGCACACAGGAATATGTGATGATCCATGTTACTAAAAAGCTCGCAAAATTAGTCATAAATCCTTCCTTGACTATTTCCCAAATGCCACCGTGTTCCTCATCATCGATGTTATGAGTTGTACAGTATAAATAGACATAGCCACTTGAGCATAATCCAAAAGCTATAAGTCCGATAAATCCAGTCAATGGAATTACTCCCCAAATGAGACCTAGAAATAGGCCTACGATCTGTCGGCTCCAGTATATCCAATCAAGGAAGATTTCCGTATCTAAAGTGATAATAAATTGCTCGTAATGACCTCAATTGAGTGTGTAAATTAATGTTTTTCATCGTACCTGGCCATTCAGTCTTTGATGACAATCCCATTTTCATGAGCGTTGAGAAGCTCACTTCAATTGGCTTGGATTTATCCATTGTACTTTGTTTGCTAGCCATTTTAAGTTACTTTAATTTAGAATTTTATGAAATAAATTAAATTATCACGACTTTTTTCGCTCGAAATGTGTACACGGAAAAATGAGATGTTGATATTATTTTGTCACTATGTCTGTTTATTACAGAAGCACTGTGATTGGTTGGTTAAATTAACGATTCGAATGATTTTAATGTAGGGGGGGGGGGGGGGGGTATGGGGGTATGGGGGGGGGGGGGTGTCAACGAAAAAATTTTTTTTTTAAATTTTCCACCATTTTAATGATTTATGAATGTCCAGATCACTTTTGATAGCTAAGCAATACATAGTATTTGTTATATAATAAAAATACAATCATAATTTGTGGAAATTTTAAATAAAGAAAAACTAAAATAAAATAAAATAAATTATGAACGTTCGGGGGGGGGGGGGTTGTGAGTTGTACGACAAGGGGGGAGGGGGGTGAAAAAAGTCGTTTTTTTGCGTAACGTAATAAGTGAACGGCCCCTTTACTGTTTAAATGAATTTAAATGGTTAATTGACACTGGATTAGAAGTAAAATTCAAATCTCAAAAACCGTTATTTTTCATTATTCCTGGCAGCATGTTTTATAAAAATTGTACTTTAACTTCAATATGTAATATCATAAATCATTTAGAACTGCGCAATAATATCATGTTTTTCTGAAAACACAATGACTTGCCAGTACTCAGCTGAATTCAGCGAAATCTTATGTTTTTGAAATTTGAGACATCCAGAGCTGGAAGTTGACATCCAGAGCTGAAATGTATGCCATCGATTAATAAAAAACAATACTTTTTGTGATATAGTAGATAGAATATATTTGAAATCTTTTAGGTTCTAATATTCTAAAGCATAATTACAATTTGAATCAAAAATAAGGTGACTTAGTAGTTAACATAGCTAATCAAGCTGTATGATATATACAATGATAAATATGCGTGCTTTTAATTTGAATATATTATGTCCTTTTAAAATCTATGATTAGTTATTGTGGTTAAAATTTGATGTAATTAAGCTGATTTTGCTTACAATAAGGAAGTCCTTTAACTATCATGTTCTCTTTTTTAAAAAAATAACTTAATTTGTCCAACAAGAGTTTTAAGATCAATTCTAGATTATCATTTAAATACGATTTTGTCATACGTCTTCTTGTATTTAATCTTTTCATCACGAACAATAAGCTTCTGTGATGAATCATCCCTGACTCACCACATGTAATTGTTCTCAGTTTCACTTCTGTGTGCCTTCATTACTCCAACACCTCCTCCAAGTCGTCTGTAATTCATACAGCCGCACAATCGCCATTGATTTGCATCTGGATCATAAACTTCAATGGTTTTTAAGTAAGCTGTTCCATCAAAGCCTCCGACCTAATATAGACAATCATAAAATAAGAGTTGTGGAGTTCAAATCAGACTTAAAGGATCTTACAGCATAAAGAGCACCATTGACAACCGCTAGACCAACGCCAGATCTTCTGGATGTCATAGCAACAATTGGTGACCATGAATTTGTATGTGGATTGTATCGTTCAGCAGAGCTCAGTTCCATACAGTCATCTCGTCCTCCAACTGAAACAATTTGAGATTATCTTTCAATCCAATAATTCCACTATGGGATAAAATCGATTTTTTTTTTCCAAAAATTATTTTATTGGCTTGCTTGAAAGGTCTTTATCCAAGAAATCAGAATCCATTTTAATTTTGGCCCAAAATGCAGCAGTGCTGGAGATATAGCCCGAAATGTATTTTGATGACCTTCGATATAATATTTTCAATTTATCAGAACTTTTTCTTGTCTCAACCAATTTTCTTGAAACTTTTTTTAAATGACAGATATAAGCCGAAACTTTAATATAAATATCAATCACATAAGTTTTACACCATGGAAAGTGCTTAAAAATTGACGAAACTTTAAATGTTAGTAGTACGGCACACTTTTTTTGAGTATGTGGATTTCTGATGCACTTGAATGTTTTTCTTTTTTCATAAAATTGTAGCCCTTTACTAGATCCACAAGAAAAATATCCCTTTCAAGGTTTAAAATTATATTTATGCATCAAACAATTGAGATTTATTCAAAAAATATACGGTTTTTACTATGTTTTGACTTCAATTGACTATAACTGCATATTTCAAGTGAGTGGAGAGACAAGTTTTGACTGTTTTATATAGCACTCACTTGTATCTTTCTAAAACTGTGAAAACCTGGAAAAAAGTTTCGCCAAATTTTCAACTTTGAACCATTTGAAACATCTCATCTGCATGCACCTCAAAAATCTTTTTCAACTTTTTTCATCAAAGTCATGTCCAAACTTGATAAAACTTTCAGGAATGTTAGAAAATAGGGTTTTTGATATTTTAAAATCAATTTGAGTTTTTGGAATGGACTTGGACCATTTTTATTTGAAATGTCATCATTTTTCATTTTCAATGAGATGTAAATGACTTTAAATACACTATATGCTTAACAAAAAGTATTTGTATTACCTTTTATGTTAAGCTGCTTAAATTACCTTTCCAACGATATATAATATATCATATATGAGTACAATATCCCTGAATAATGTTGAAAAAACTGAAAAATTACTCAAAATTCGAGGTGTGTGAAGAACCATACTTAGCATTTTTGCTCAAAACTATATGAAATCTCAAGTATATATTATAAATATGGTACTGTTGGAAAGATAAAAATACTTGGTTGAGACAAGAAAAAGTTCTGATAAATTGAAAATATTAACTATCGAAGGTCATCAAAATACATTTCGGGCTGTATCTAAATTAAAATAGATTCTGATTTCTTGAATAAAGATCTTTCAAATAAGCCAATAAAATAATTTTTGGAAAAAAAAAATCGACTATATCCCATAGTGAATTCCTAATAATTTGTGAGACATACCTGCATAAATAAAATTATTATAAACTGCACAGCCAAGATGCTTTCGTCTGGTTGACATTGGAGCTACCATTGACCATTTGTTCTGAAATTTCAAGATTTGAATTTAACTGTTACCAAAGTTATAAAATTCAGTGTTACCTGTCTTGGGTCATATCGTTCGACTGTATTTAGAGGTGTTTGTCCATCACTTCCACCAATTGCATACTATTAAAAGAGTAAATTTAGATAAAGATCTAAGTTTAAAATTTTAGAAATTACCAAAAAACCGCCTAAAACTGCTACCGCAACTCCTAATCTGCGACTGACCATCGGAGCTACTTTCGTCCACTAAAAGTTGAAAAATCTTCATTAAGAAACATTAAAAAGTCAAATTAATGTAGAAGCTCACTTTATTTTCTTTTGGACAATATCTTTCAACATGATTCAGGCACTGCACTCCATCCTGACCTCCAACAGCGTAAAGATAACCATCTAGATGAGAAATAGTAGAAGGTGGAGTTTAAATCATTTCAACCCAATGTTCCTTTAGAGTATAACGAAATTCTCACCTAAAACAGCAACTCCTACAGAAGTTCTACAACTTGTTGTGGGACTAACATCACAACTCCATTGATTAGTCTGTGGATCATATCTCTCAATTGAATTGAGATAGCTTTGGCCTGTAATTCACAAACAGTTAATGTATAGAATTTGGACACAAAAAAACCAGGAATGTGTTACCATCATGTCCACCAACGGCATAAAGAAGATCAGCACAAACAGCTACTCCAACTCCACATCTAAAATTTTATATTATTTATCAGATATTTCTTATTTTTCTAGAATAAAAGGAATGTCGGACCAACCTTCGTTTGTTCATTGGAGCAACCATCTTCCATTCCAAAGTATTTGGATCGAAACGTTCAACGGATGCTATAGCATCACCTGAGCACCAACCGCCAACACTATAGAGCACCTCTCCACGTTTTGTTGGTCTTCTTGGCCTTGTTCGAGGTCCTGAAAATATCCAGAACTATAAATCGACTCAACATCAATACTCTAGACCCCAATGCTAGCAAACAGAAATTTTTGAGTTCTTATTATTCGAACTTCGAATTTTCGAGGTTCTTATTTTTCGAAAATCGAATTTTCGAAGTTCTTATTTTTAAAAAAATTCGTTGTGAATTATTATTTTTCGAGTAGTTTGTAATTTTAGAGAACATTCCTACTAGTTTTTATGATTAAGATAATCACTGTGATGAAATTGCATTCCTTAAATGTTAATGCTTTAAAAAACACCTAGTTTAAAAAAAATAAAAAGCAACGGACTTTCTTATTTTGAAATTTTAAAAAAATAGCGCGCGAAAACTTTGAATTTTTTTTGTTTGTAACGGACTCTGTTCTCTTTGCTAACATTGGTCTAGACCCATACCTTGCATTAATGGACGTTCTTGAGGTAAAAGTAAATAGTTTTTAGCTTCATCAACTAGATCGCGACATGCATCATCGCTTCTAATGAGGAGATCACTGCCAACAGTCCCGACCAAAAATTTTGGACTTAGTAATGGCATTCGAACGTGCTGTAATACTTGTGCTAAATGCTGTCTTCGTTCAGCAACATTATATTTTAACCATAACAAGACTGAGTTGTAGACTTGTTCCTCATTTCTCACGTTTAATTCATCACTGCAGATGATGTCGACTAATTGACCAACGGGAAGTAAGAGAAATTCTTCAGATTCCATGACTTCTTGGAAGTTATGTTGTGTGAATTTATCAGCGATTCTTAGAAGCTCTCGACACGAATGAGTGTCAGCAAAAGCACGAATTCCAAGACAGTTTGTGGGATCCAATTGACGTTTAAGGAACTCACAACAAATGTCTTGAATTTCAGATAACTGTAATAAACAAGCGGCAGGAAGTAATGACTGAACATTGGATTCCTCAACAACAATATGTGATGTATAACAAAAATCAATTAGCAGTTCCATAGCATTTTCGTCTATATCTCTGATAGTGACTTCAGTTTGCCTGCTTTCTTCTAATTCACCAGTAAACATTGCTTTAAAATAGGCAGAACAGGCTGAAAGGATGACTCGATGAGCAAAAATCTTTCGACTTCCAACATTAAGGACCACATCACATAATTCTCTGTGTCTACGTAGAACATTTAGTTCTGCGAGTGTAATTTTTGGATGTTTTTCAGAAATATGCGACAACCTTGCTGGGGAGCAGTTGGTGTCAAGCAGAATATCCATTTCTTTGATCATTAATACCGTTAACTCAATCTTTAAGGATGATAGTAAGGAATAAATGGATAAATAAACTAGTGTATCGGGTAGAAACCCAATGCGGATATATTCACACCGTACCATCAAAAGTCTTATGGATAGACCATCAAAAGTTATACCTAATTTATGTTATAATTATGTCAGCTACAAAAACACTTAGTTTGAATTTTGTCACCCTCGGAAACACTATGAACCAGTATAGCTGATTTTGGTCCAAATCTCGGCCATACTTCACACTTATTTGAACCACATTTTCTCGTAAATGTTAAAATATTATTAAAAAGGAATTAATCCTGAATTATGTCGCTATTTTGTCAAGTGTTTTAAGATAAAGAATTTGTGTTTTGGTTTCCACAGTGAAGAGTATGAAAAAAATTCAGATGGGGTAGTCGAAATTTAAGATTTCGATTTTTTTTTAAGCTATGCATTACAAAAAGTAATAATGGTATGTGACTTATGTCAGAAATATGTCAATTCAAATAAAACATCCAGAAAATTTTTTTGACCAAAGTACACCATAGAAAATCAGTTTTCAATTTTGGACTAGGGGCGACCCTAGTCAAAATCAATTTTGTCACTTTTTTCTTCGAGGGTTTATCCAAATGGATTGAAACTTTGCATAAATATTCTAGTGCTTAAAACCAATACAAATAAAACATTCAAAAATTTTTTTGAGCAAAGAACCAAGTTGGAAATACATTTTCAATTATGAACTTGGGACGACTCTAGTCAAAATCAATTTTGTCACTTTTTTCTTCGAGGGTTTATCCAAATGGATTGAAACTTTGCATAAATATTTTAGTGCTTAAAACAAATACAAATAAAACATCCAAAAATTTTTTTGAGCAAAGAACCAAGTAGGAAATACATTTTCAATTATGAACTTGGGACGACTCTAGTCAAAATCAATTTTGTCACTTTTTTCTTCGAGGGTTTATCCAAATGGATTAAAACTTTGCATAAATATTCTAGTGCTTAAAACAAATACAAATAAAACATCCTAAAATTTTTTTGAGCAAAGAACCAAGTAGAACCAAGTTCATAATTGAAAATATATTTCCTTCTTGGTTCTTTGCTCAAAAAAATTTTTGGATGTTTCATATTTATTTGTATTTGTTTTAAGCACTAGAATATTTATGCAAAGTTTCAATCCATTTGGATAAACCCTCGAAGAAAAAAGTGACAAAATTGATTTTGACTAGGGTCGTCCCAAGTTCATAATTGAAAATGTATTTCCTACTTGGTTCTTTGCTCAAAAAAATTTTAGGATGTTTTATTTGTATTTGTTTTAAGCACTAGAATATTTATGCAAAGTTTCAATCCATTTGGATAAACCCTCGAAGAAAAAAGTGACAAAATTGATTTTGACTAGGGTCGCCCCTAGTCCAAAATTGAAAATGTATTTCCTACTTGATTCTTTGCTCAAAAAAATTTTTGGATGTTTTATTTGTATTTGTTTTAAGCACTTGAATATTTATGCAAAGTTTCAATCCATTTGGATAAACCCTCGAAGAAAAAAGTGACAAAATAGATTTTGACTAGGGTCGCCCCTAGAATATTTATGCAAAGTTTCAATCCATTTGGATAAACCCTCGAAGAAAAAAGTGACAAAATTGATTTTGACTAGGGTCGTCCCAAGTTCATAATTGAAAATGTATTTCCTACTTGGTTCTTTGCTCAAAAAAATTTTAGGATGTTTTATTTGTATTTGTTTTAAGCACTAGAATATTTATGAAAAGTTTCAATCCATTTGGATAAACCCTCGAAGAAAAAAGTGACAAAATAGATTTTGACTAGGGTCGCCCCTAAAATATTTATGCAAAGTTTCAATCCATTTGGATAAACCCCCGAAGAAAAAAGTGACAAAATTGATTTTGACTAGGGTCGCCCCTAGTCTAAAATTGAAAATGTATTTCCTACTTGGTTCTTTGCTCAAAAAAATTTTTGGATGTTTTATTTGTATTTGTTTTAAGCACTAGAATATTTATGCAAAGTTTCAATCCATTTGGATAAACCCTCGAAGAAAAAAGTGACAAAATTGATTTTGACTAGGGTCGCCCCTAGTCCAAAATTGAAAATGTATTTCCTACTTGATTCTTTGCTCAAAAAAATTTTTGGATGTTTTATTTGTATTTGTTTTAAGCACTAGAATATTTATGCAAAGTTTCAATCCATTTGGATAAACCCTCGAAGAAAAAAGTGACAAAATTGATTTTGACTAGGGTCGCCCCTAGTCCAAAATTGAAAATGTATTTCCTACTTGATTCTTTGCTCAAAAAAATTTTTGGATGTTTTATTTGTATTTTTTTTAAGCACTAGAATATTTATGCAAAGTTTCAATCCATTTGGATAAACCCTCGAAGAAAAAAGTGACAAAATAGATTTTGACTAGGGTCGCCCCTAGTCCAAAATTGAAAATGTATTTCCTACTTGATTCTTTGCTCAAAAAATTTTTTGGATGTTTTATTTGTATTTGTTTTAAGCACTAGAATATTTATGCAAAGTTTCAATCCATTTGGATAAACCCCCGAAGAAAAAAGTGACAAAATTGATTTTGACTAGGGTCGCCCCTAGTCCAAAATTGAAAATGTATTTCCTACTTGATTCTTTGCTCAAAAAATTTTTGGATGTTTTATTTGTATTTGTTTTAAGCACTAGAATATTTATGCAAAGTTTTAATCCATTTGGATAAACCCTCGAAGAAAAAAGTGACAAAATTGATTTTGACTAGAGTCGTCCGAAGTTCATAATTGAAAATGTATTTCCTACTTGATTCTTTGCTCAAAAAAATTTTTGGATGTTTTATTTGTATTTGTTTTAAGCACTGGAATATTTATGCAAAGTTTCAATCCATTTGGATAAACCCTCGAAGAAAAAAGTGACAAAATATGCAAAGTTTCAATCCATTTGGATAAACCCCCGAAGAAAAAAGTGACAAAATTGATTTTGACTAGGGTCGCCCCTAGTCCAAAATTGAAAATGTATTTCCTACTTGATTCTTTGCTCAAAAAATTTTTGGATGTTTTATTTGTATTTGTTTTAAGCACTAGAATATTTATGCAAAGTTTCAATCCATTTGGATAAACCCCCGAAGAAAAAAGTGACAAAATTGATTTTGACTAGGGTCGCCCCTAGTTCAAAATTGAAAATGTATTTCCTACTTGATTCTTTGCTCAAAAAATTTTTGGATGTTTTTTTTGTATTTGTTTTAAGCACTAGAATATTTATGCAAAGTTTAAATCCATTTGGATAAGCCCTCGAAGAAAAAAGTGACAAAATTGATTTTGACTAGGGTCGCCCCTAGTCCAAAATTGAAAATGTATTTCCTACTTGATTCTTTGCTCAAAAAAATTTTTGGATGTTTTATTTGTATTTGTTTTAAGCACTAGAATATTTATGCAAAGTTTCAATCCATTTGGATAAACCCTCGAAGAAAAAAGTGACAAAATTGATTTTGACTAGGGTCGCCCCTAGTCCAAAATTGAAAATGTATTTCCTACTTGATTCTTTGCTCAAAAAATTTTTGGATGTTTTATTTGTATTTGTTTTAAGCACTAAAATATTTATGCAAAGTTTAAATCCATTTGGATAAACCCTCGAAGAAAAAAGTGACAAAATTGATTTTGACTAGGGTCGCCCCTAGTCCAAAATTGAAAATGTATTTCCTACTTGGTTCTTTGCTCAAAAAATTTTTTGGGTGTTTTATTTGTATTTGTTTTAAGCACTAAAATATTTATGCAAAGTTTTAATCCATTTGTATAAACCCTCGAAGAAAAAAGTGACAAAATTGATTTTGACTAGGGTCGCCCCTAGTCCAAAATTGAAAATGTATTTCCTACTTGATTCTTTGCTCAAAAAAATTTTCGGATGTTTTATTTGTATTTGTTTTAAGCACTAGAATATTTATGCAAAGTTTCAATCCATTTGGATAAACCCCCGAAGAAAAAAGTGACAAAATTGATTTTGACTAGGGTCGCCCCTAGTCCAAAATTGAAAATGTATTTCCTACTTGATTCTTTGCTCAAAAAAATTTTCGGATGTTTTATTTGTATTTGTTTTAAGCACTAAAATATTTATGCAAAGTTTAAATCCATTTGTATAAACCCTCGAAGAAAAAAGTGACAAAATTGATTTTGAATAGGGTCGCCCCTAGTCCAAAATTGAAAATGTATTTCCTTCTTGGTTCTTTGCTCAAAAAAATTTTTTTCATCCAAAGTTTAATTTAAAATTAAAAAAAAATCACAGTGAACTTTTAATTTGAAAAATTCGTAAGAAAGGAAAGTATTTTGCTTTTTCTGAAGCAACGGCTGTTCCTACCTTGCCTAAAAACAATACAACTCTTCTATAGAGCAGCACGGATCAAATGTAAAAAACTAGAAGTCTCTACAATGTCTCGTTATTGAGATTTCTTGCTGATTAACTTGCTTGCTTGCTTGTTTGCTTACAGAAAGCGTATTTTGCGATTTTCTCAGCAATGCCACAACCAATTTGAAATCTGTTTTTTGAAAATGATGTAAACTTTCAGGCACAAACTTTTCTTTTGTGACCTTTTATAACCAAGTTTGCTTCATTTTCTCACAAAATGCGAAAAACCTATTTTTCAATCTGAACAAAACCAATAGATTCACACGTGAAAACGGTGTGAATATAACAAAATAATTCACGACAGAAACACGAAAAATGATTATCACAGTTCCTTTACAGTACTACTGTTTTTGACTGTAAGTACCTTTTGAGATTTAATTATGTTGATTGATTTTTTCAGCTTTTTAGGACTTAATTATTGTAAATCATGATTAAAATCAAATTTTCGCAGTGCAAATTTATTTTACGCGTTTTGATTTGCTTGATTTACTTTTAACAATTTATTTCACATAATTCACAGCAACTTGATTAAAAGAATCAATAAAAGACTGCCTTATAGTCATTTCAATATGATTTTCTATGTATTTTATTAATTTTGGTGTATTTTGAATAAATATTATTATTTGTGTGAAGTTAAACCAAAAGATATGAAGATACAACGTGAAGTTGCATACTATTCACTAATACAAACTTAAAATAAACACACACCAATACAAAACTGTTGTTTTTTGTCAACAAAAGAGTATTTAATGAAATTCTGCAAGAATGGAGGACGGTAGGAACTTTAGATCTATATATTATGAAAAAGTAGGTTGTCGCAGTGTAGAGGAAAAGAAAAGCTTGGAGATTCTCCTTAAAGAAAATCCTGTATTTAAAGCAAAACTGTTGCAGTTCTTAAAATTATTTTCTGTAAGTTTGACAATCCTGTACATCTTGAAAAGGAGCTCAATAATGATTATTCTAACAGGTTCCATCAGTTCATCGTGGCTTATTGTATAACTTAGCATTAGATGTCTATCCAATTTACATGGAATCAAAGGAATTTGTTATGCAGCAGAAAAAAGAAACTTATGAAGATCTGATTAGAGCACTGGATGTGATGAAATACATTGATGATAGAACACCTAAATCAAGAGTATTTTATGCAATGTATTTATTAGAAACGAAGAAGCTGAATAGTTCTGCGAATCTATATGTAAGTGATGCTGAAGTAGAGCGTTGGCCTTCTGTGCCAAAGGTCCTGGGTTCAATCCCAGGCCATGTCTAATTTTCGAAGCTCTTTTTCCATTTCACCCTTCTAGTTACGAAGCTCGGTTCGTGTGCTGGGTGTAGTTTTGAGGTCTTTGGCACAGAATCTGCCTCCTTTGCTAGGTATACAAGAATATACTAGCATCTGGATGACTTCTTTACGGCATCTTGCGCACACGGATTGTGACTAGGTACATTGCAGGGTACATCAGGTCTTATGACGTACTCGTGTCTTTGCAATGTGCAGAGCCAGGGGCGTAGCCAGAAAATTTTTTAAGGGGGGGGCCCATTTTCGAAAATTAAAAAACCGTTATTTTGTATCCTTAAATCTATATTCATTCTTCATAAGTTTAAATATTTAATTCATTATTCATTATACATTAAATTTAATTTTTCGTGCTGATTTAGACATTTCTTTTATCACTTCCTCTACATTAACTGGTTCTTCTCTATAAATAGGGTAAATGACTTTGAAATTTGCGCAACCTTGAAATTTGCGCACTCGTATGAAAACGAAAATTTAAAAATTATATCTGAAAACTGCACTTCTGTTCAGACGATCAATGGGAAATGTCTGCAAAACACAAGCACAGATGTTTTTTCATAATTTTTAGTGGTCTTAAGGCACTAGAAAGCTTAATAATTTATTACCAAAAACTCCCATACAAAACTTAAATTTCTTTACATTTTGATTTTGAGATGCATGCATTGGTATAGATTAAATTTTGGTTTTAGAAAATGTAGATCTGACATTGCTTAAAATTTTTCAAATGGTTCCAATTCAAAATGATACCTGGAACTGCTTTAAAATTCATTTTTAAAATGGCTTGTTTTTAAACCTTGAAATTTGCGCAAATTTAATGAAAAATTTTGAAATTTGCGCAGTGAAAAATAAAGGTCCTTACAACTGAAGAAGAAGTCAAAATTGCAAAGTGGTGTATAGATTCAGCCAAATAAGGCGATCCAAAAACAACAGAAGATTTGAAGGAAACTGCTCAAAAATTAAAGGAACTTGAGGATATGAAAGCTCAAAAATGAATTGACCGAGAAAAAAGAATTTACTATTAATATTTAAACTAATTTGATTTAGGAATTTACTCCTAAAACATCTAAGATTGTCCTTTTGAACATTAAGCTTTCACGGATTTTCACGAAACTAAATCTAATCGTATAATTTGGTAATAAACATCATCATTTCCCCTATATTTTGATTAATGTATTTTAAAATTGGATATGTTTTCAACAATATTTTTTCCAAGTTTCAATATTGCTGTCAAAAAAGTGCGCAAATTTCAAAGTTTTCTGCGCAAATTTCAAAGTTCAAACTTGAAAGTCAAATTTCTTGGCATTGACACAGCAGAGCTTCCTATATCCATAGAAAAACAAAAATATCAATGATTCCCTGCATTTCAAGATCGTTAGTAGGGCTCAATTTCAATCCTCCGAAGAGCTTGAAGCAATGAAAATTTTTTTGTGTGAATTTGCGCAAATTTCAAGGTCATTTACCCTACTTAATAAAACAATTATCAGATTTTCGTAGGGGGGGCACGGGCCCTGCTCTGCTTGTGCAGAGCTTGCAAGTGGCTCGGATCTCACTTTAAACTGTAGGTCTAAAGGGTGTGGTACAATCGATTCTGTTCTAATTTGAATCGCAGTGCCTCCAGTTGAAAGGCTGGGCCCTTCACACATTATTATTATTATTATATGCTCACGAGTTAACTCAGTCAGTACAATTAAGTGAGCATACTCATTGAGAGCATGCTCTTTGTCTGTTCGGGGTTAATGACTAAATATGTATTTTTCAGAGAGATTCGGTATTTTCTCTGCTAGCCGAAGTGATTCTTGAAGGACTGGAAGCAGATCCAGTAGAATCTTACTTTATCACAAAAAGCTTTTATCGATTTAGTGACGATATTTCAAATGAACTACCTAAATTAAAGCATCAAACTCACTTCTATCTTGAGAAGGAAGAAGAAGAGATTTACAGGTATGAAGCTACTCAATATTGCTGATTCCAATCTCAATCATATATAAATAAATTCCACAGACACCTAAATTCAAGGAGCATAATCGACAAACTTCCATTTGATCGTTGGTATCCATCAATATTCAGTTCAATCCTTGACAGACTTGCACTAATTAGAATATTCGATAAAGTAGCATCAGGTTCAATTAGCATAGTTGTATTTCTATTTGTCGTCATCTGTTCATATACAAGATTTCAGCTAAAAAGTCCGAAAATTGACACAGACGAAGTGATTAAAATTATAGAAAGCTATGCCGTTGAAGACGACAGTCAGAAATCGGAAGTGATTATCAACAAATCTATAGACTTATGGCAGAAATACTGCATGAAGAAGTGATGTGTGGAATTGACGACTTTAATAAAGATTTGAGAAAATGAAGATGTACGATTTGCTTAAAAATTCTGAAAAAATAAAAATAAGATTTTAAAAAATCGACAAATTTTAATTTTTATAAAATTTTTTTCATTCTTTATTTCAGCGTTTTAATTAATTTAATGTATAATAATGTTTACTCTTGTAGTGTAAATGGCTTTCCTTGTTAATCGTCAATAGATATTTCTGTTTAATACAAAGCTAAAAACGATTCGATTCTTTATATATTTTAATATAATTGAGGATGTCGATTAAAAACCTATAGAAAAATTGCGAGCCACATCTAAATATATACTTTATTAATGTACGTAATTTTATATTATATTTATGTTGCAAAAAGTCGAAGCATAATATGAATAATATTATATTTCGTTAAAATGAAATTGGTTTAGTTGATTTATGTATTTTCTTTTGTATAATATCACAGGAAATTTTCGCAATTATTTAATTAAAAATGATATTAATTAATTATTCATCTTATTCTGTAAATGTTACTTTGAAATAATTTTCTATGCACAAAAATGCACATGAATCGTCGCCAGGGTTAGCAGTAAGATGCCTCTGATCGTCGTTTTTAAAATAATTAATTACAGTTGGTGTTAATTTAATTTTCAGCTACTGAACTGTCGTGTGTAAAATTTGAATCGAGACTGACACAATCGGAGTCATCTTGTTGAATTTCATTCCAACTTGCAGCTTCTTTCAATTGGTTCAACATGTTTAGTAGTGGATCTTCCTTACTTCCTAATAATTCCGCTTCCTCTAATCCTACGTCCTGAGCTGTTATTGTTTTCAGTTTTGGTACTGTTGATGGAGTAATTGGCCATGGATAAGTTTCACGAATGTATAGACATGGATCAGTCCATGCATTTCCTCTTCTTCCGTATAATTGAACACCTTCTTTAATTGCATTAATCATGTAAGGAGCTAATGTAATATTCCATAAATCTAAGAACCATTTTTGTGAATCATTTACGTCAATTGGACATTCGAGGAATAATTGTGGTCCAATAGTAACATCGCTAGAGCTGTGCGTCTCCAAAAATGAATTGATATGTTGAACGAGTGTTGGCAACCATCTGAAAATCTTTTCCATTTGAATTTGGGGCGATCCATTCAGTAATTCAATGTCGTAAAGTCGACGACGAAGAAATCTACCTAAGAATCCTTTAACTGGTTCCATGTGGTTTGCAGTCAATACCTATTTAAATTAAAGACTTTATTACATATATTCAATAAGTATGTTTATAAACTATCTTACCCATCGAAAATTGTGATGCAACTGAAGATTTGTTGTGTTGCATGTCGCTTGTGACATTGTGCCAATAATACATGGAAGCTTAGATGCTGGGCCAGCACTTAATAAGCATGAAAACACATCACCTAATTCTGAAGCGTGGTGAAGGTTGTCTAATATAATTACTGCTGGAAGCTCTTCCATTGAACAGTTTATTGAAGCTTGCTCAGCAATTTGGCTTAAATAATGTTGCAAGTCCTTTGATGACTTGTGGTCGACACTGTTGAAACAATAAATCAATAAATTAATTTTTGTTTATTTAAAAAATTATTTAAAAAACTCACTTGAATGTGGCAATTGATTCTGCTGGACTTCGATTAGACTTGGCAACTAAAAATTCAGCTAATTTTCTTGCTAAATGGCTCTTGCCAGTTCCTTTTGGTCCACATAAAATCAATCTTCGATGCTCGGTTAACAAATTAATATAACGATGAACAATAGATCTTGGAATTAGCGTATCAAATGCTAAGCTACCAACACCTTGTAAGCATATGTACAATGACTTAACATTACCAATTATATATCCACATGGCAATAATTCTGGAAATCCCATTTCAGGCCCACGTTTTGCTTCACCCAAATGATATGAAGTAATTGAGTCAGTATTAAGCCCCAAATTTGTACCCGGATCAACGCGCGAAAGATAATCCTTAAATGTCTTCCGAACAATATAATCGAGATTCTGCCATGTAGTCTTGCCAGAAATGTATGTGCATGCAATAATCATTTCGGCATTATTTGGATCATCAAGTGAGTGATTGAAATGGTTATGGAACTTCAAATTATCGCTATTATGCTGTAATCCGTCTTCAACGTCATTAAAATGTTCACATTCACTCAATTCTTCCATATATTTCGTATATCTTTCTGCTTGACCGAGATAAACAGCTATTGAGATTCGTTTTCCATCTCCTGAGTCGGAAATTTCTTCGCCGGGTGTTGCTAAGACATCATGTGATAATGAGATTCTTTCTAATGTTGGTGAAATGTCGTTCATTAAATGTGGTGAAAGTGGTGCAGGTGCTGGCGTTGGAACTTCGTCTTCTTCCTCAGTTTCATCTAAATTATCAGGTAAATCTAATGGTGGTCGAGAATGTCCTGAATCTGTTGCGAAACTATATCTTCTAGAGTCACCAGCAGAACATGGTGAAGCTGGGCATCCGATTGATGTTTCAGAACCAGCAAGTGATCGACTTGTCACCATTTTCTGTAGTCTGTCATTGTTTTGTCTTAATGCCATCATTTCTTGTCGCATTGCCTTGACAGTTTCCTTTAATGTTTCCATTTGAGATGCCTGAGTAAGTGCTTCCAATCGAATGTCGGTGAGTACCATATCTTTTTCGCGTAACTGCTTCTTTAATTCTTCAACAATCGGATGATTTTCTACTTCTATTGAGTCAAATGGTTTGGCTAGATTTAATTAAAATATTTGAGACAATTTCTCATTAGTTAAGAATTTAATCAGCATGTAGAAAGCATAACTTACCATTTTCGATTAACGTAACTTGACGATTCGATAGTTTAGTCGGTGAAATTGGTGGTTTTCCCAAGTCTGGGACTGTATTGGCTGTCGGTAATTTTGGTATCATCTTTAACTGCGTCGGTGGTGGTAGAGATGCCTTTGATTCCGATAAATTTCCATTTAAACTCATCTGACGATTCGTCTTGGAAATTTTTGCATTTCTCGAGAATGCTTTTGTGAATGAACTTCGGAGCTGTTCAAAGATGAAAGAAAATGTAAAGTCTCACGCTAAACAATAAAGCAACCATAAAGTATTAACTTACCCATCCTTTCTTCTTCTTCTTATCTTGCATTGAGCAATTAGAACTTAATGAGTTAATTGAGCAAACTGAATCTGTACTTAATTGTCTTTGCATCGTTCCATTTCCATTCTGTAGTCCCGATTCATGGGATCCATTAATGGACTTCTTTGTAGGACTTCCATTACCATTAACATTCATTTTCACGCCCATACTCTCGATATGAGCTGATGTTAAACCGGCTTGAATTGATTGCTTCTTGAGTAATTCTATTGTTTGCCGCATATCCGTAATTTCTGATTCCTGTAAAATGATAAAAATTAAATAATAGAATTAGATCATCATGTAGAATAGTAAATCAAGGATTAATCTTCTGTATTCAAAACCAGCATGCCTAGAATCTTTTTATTAGAATTAATTGACAAACCTTCTTCTCGGTTGCAGCAGTCAGTGATTGTAGCCGATTTGTCATTGTTGCAAGTGATTTCTCAAATGCATTCACGACATGCGCCTGTGTTTTTGTTAAATTGAATTGGTTATTATAAGTGGAGAAAAAAAGTAGGAAAAAATGTTGTTAGCAGTTAATCAAAAAAAAAAAGTTGCACTCAATCATGTTTATTGTCATGTTATTCGAATTTGATGTGTTAATCCACACGAAAATATAAAATATCGGAAGGAATTGATCAGTTTTATTTTTATTTCAAATTTGTTCACACGTGATTGAATCCATCAAATTCAGTCACAACATCCTCAATTTAAATTTTGTTTTCAACGTGAAGCCAGAGGAATTTCCATAAAAGTTTTTTTTGGTATTTCTTATTTGTTTATTTACACACCCACAAAAATCATCCGCTTGACACACAACGAAATAATAATAAAGTTTTAGCAATAACAACAGCTAGAATTAATTTCTAAATCTTTTTTTACTCTTTTTCAATTTTTAATGAGTTTAAATAGTGAAATACTGGATCCAAAGCCTAATTTATTCAAACCTATATTAATTTAATGACTAATTTGTTTTTTAAATAGCTTTGATATCTAAACGATCTTAAAAGATTGAAAATATTTTGATTATCAAATCAAATGAAGAATATTAAAAAATTTCTCAGGTATTTCTTTATGATTGTTATTTATCGCGAGATATAATATCCATTTTAATGCACTTATTAATATTTTATTGACAAATTCGTTTGATTATCAATTTTGACTTCGGGACGAGTTATTGAAATTTAATTTCATTGTTATTTAAATTCGCATAAAAAGCAGGCGGTCGAGTGCTTTGAAATCGTTGAAATTATGTGGCATAATTATGAAGTTTGTTTATGTTTTCTTTTGAAGTTTTTTAAATTACAAATTTTGATTGAAAATTATTTAAAATTCCTTGAAAACTGAAGTCATTGCTGTGTTTTGACTTTTGTTTCGATAAAAAGGAAGTTTTGAATGAACTTATTTCAATTTTAAGATTTTTTCAAATTAAGATTCATTAAGTTTTTAAATCGATTTTAAAATAAAAAGCTTCTCAAAAATTTTTAATTCAATTTAAACTCTCAACCTAATACAGTTCAAGTCATATTAAATGCTAACCAATAATTTCAATATTTAAACTTCAATTTATAGTTTTTCTTTACAAAAACTAATAAATTAACTCAGTGGCAAGCCCCTTTAAATAGATTTTCATCACTTTATTTAATTGCATCATAAAATTTCAAAACAATAACATACGTAGGGTTACCATCTAGTTTTCATGAAAATACAGGACATTTGGTAAATTTTTTCGAAAAAAACAGGACATAGAGTAAAATTCGAAAATTAACGGAAATTTTCATGAAAAAAATACAGGACCAGGAACAAAATTTAAAAATTTATACAGGACAGGGTTTCGAAATACAGGACTGTCCGTTGTAAAACTACGCAGATGGTCACCCTAAACATACGTTATACATTTTAATATCCAATTTTCAACTTTAAATGTGTATAAATATGAATTTTTAATTGCAACTCTAGTTTATCTCATAAAGATCGAGTGATAAAAATTAATAAGCTAATTTTAATACATTTCGTCGACCATTATGTGCTAATGATCTCCACAAGCCGCACTTTTGTTTATTGTAGAAAGATTTCTCATAAAAGTCTATAAATAGCGCGAATCGAGAGAAATTATCCAGAAATGAGCGGATTTAATACGGCTCAATTATATGCTACCTGCAAGACAATAAAATTCACTTCACAATTTATTAGATTTACATAAACATATCAAGTCGGACGTAAAATTAGCTTTGAATTTTCAACTAGTATCATTTTACGAATTCATTAGACCATTTAAACAGCTGTTATTTCCTAATAAATGCTTGGATATATTACGGATTGAGCAAAAAGGCACGCCGAAATTGAGTTTGATTAATTATTAATAGCATTAATTGTGACTTTTCACACAACAATAACCACATTTGTGTTTGGGGTCTTTCATATATGACGTTTAATAAAATGAAGGCTTTGAAGCCACTCCACAAATAATGATACAATAAGTGTTAATTTTGAAAAAACATCTAGATCCCTCCCTCCATTATTAAAGTTGACATCATTTATGGATGACACTAGAAAATATTTTGCAACTTGATTTCAAACAAAGAATTATTAAGCATTAATATTTTAATATGAACGGACTCATGGGTAGAGGTTTTTGGGTCTTCTCATTAATTATACAAGAAACTTCCTGTCAAATACTTTGACTTTTTAATTTATTTAAAAAAATGCATTCATTATTTGTTTAAATGCATTAAGGTAATTACGTGGGGTTAGATGCTAGATGTCAAGGCTTTTTAGAAATCTATTAATAAATTTTAAATAAAAATCTTTGTCAAACAGCTGAAATGAAGATCTGTTCTTATTGCTTTTTATAATAAAGAATTCATAATAAATATTTTCAATGTCACTAGTTAATGCGACATAAAAAAATATCAAAATTCATTTAACCATAATCGACGCCCGCTTAATATAAATATGATTTTCAATCAAACCAAATGTTTCTTTGTCAGTAAGAAATGTTTGTTGTCTAACTGCCGTGGCTGCTGCTGTTTATTTTATGAATGAAATTTTTCGTTAAATATTGACAATGAAACAGCAAGGTGCTTCAAAGATTTGCCAAAAGATGGTCAGAGAAAAGGTATCATCTAGCTTAAATTAATTTTCATGCTGATTTCTTTGATCAGCGTTGAATTATGGATTTTGCAAGCGGAATTATGAATTTAGCGGGAAGCGTTTTTAAAAGGAAATTGATTTTGAGCACTTTTCTTATTGGATTGGTTTCTGTCTGTGTGTCAATCAATTGTTGCCACCTAATTAATTAAGAAATATGAAATTCGGAAGCATAAAATTGGTTATTTAAGTAAATATTTGAAAAATACTTTTTGAGGTGAGAGTAAAAGACACGTGGCTAAGTTGAAATACGTTAAAATTGTTACAAATTTTAAATTCCACTTTTTCTTAAGCTTTTGAAATTTAAAGCAAAAATGCTCAGTGCGCCTAAACCATCAATCAACAGTGACTTTTTAACTTTTAAATATCCAAATTACGTTTTGCTGAAAAAGTACTTCCCGGAATCAAGTGATATTAAAGTTATTTTCTCTCAATTTCTTTATCGCTGCCTGAGCATCATCAATTTTTTGACATCTACAATGCAATTTCATCATCATCTTCACAGTTGGACTTTTTTTTTCGACTACATTAATTTATTATGGACGTAAAAATTAAGAGATTTTTTTTTTTTATTATGGCTAACTGGAAAATTTATTGAATAAATATTTTAATGCCTTTCTGTAATCGATTCATCTTCTTATTCTGTGTGTCGCAAGAGATAAACAAATTTTTTTTATTGATTTCCTTTAAGTTCATCGCACTTCATTGAGCTACACAGAATTTCTCAAACTATTCGACTCACGTTTCCATCAATCAAATACTTCCAAAAGAACTACTTTTTTTATAAGAGCTGCCATAAAAACAAGTAAACATAAGTAAGTGGCAATAAAAAGAAGGCATAAATTATTCATACATATTAGATTTCCTCGGTAGCATAAAAATTAAATCACGATAAAAGCCACTTGAATTGCATGCTCAATTTGGTATTCGAGCATTTGACTATGAGAAAAATTATTTTTTTTTTCACGAATATTCTTTCAATCGATGTTGGCAAGAAATCTTCAGTCAAGCATGAAAAATCATTGCTCCTGACATTGTTTATGAATAGTTTGTTGCACATCTCATATTTCAATTTACATATTTAAAATATGTGTGTAGATAAACATGTTTTGCTGCTATTGCTATGCCTTTAGATAAAGAACAAAAATTGTATTATAATTTTATTGAATTTTCTCTTTGAAATTGTAGCTTGAAGAATGACATCGATTTATTTTTGAACCGTGCACACATAATACAATTGAAAATTAAATTATAGCTATAAAGTGCAATTGCACATAATTCACATTGCATAGTAGGAAAATTAAAAAGAGCAAGTGATGAGGGTGAGGACAGTAGATTGCAAGGAACGCACTGGAACTTGTTTTTCTGGCAAAAAAAAAACTAACTGTAATTTCGATTGCAGAAGAACTTGACTTTATTTGTTAAAAGGATTTGAACCTTAATAGCTGTGAAACTATAAAATCTGTTTTTCCATATTGAGCTATAGATGCTTTAATTCTTTTTGATTTTGTTTTACAATTTTATTAATTAAAGCATAACTTAGCTCCACTTCTACTTTCTTGTGATATATCCAAAAAACTCAATCCAAATCGCAATTCCACCACAAAGTCACTTACAAAAACTGCTCATTTACTCAAAAATTTCATAATGCACACGCCATATAGCACAAAGAAGTTTAGTGCCAGTTGGCGGATAATTGAAGAATGAGAAATAAATATAAAACTGTTGTTGAAAGTCCCACGCGATTTTCCAAATGATGAATTATGAATTAATTCAAATCGAATTCCTTTATTTAATTGAATTAATATATACATACGACTTGTGAATTGTGTATGTGATTTAAATAATAAAAGTATTTTTTAACACCTTGAACTCGTGAAGAAATTCATCTTTCTTGCCGGGGTCTCTTTATCGCCGTCTGACTAATTTAAATTGAAAACATCATTCGAATGTTTACGAGAATGAAAAGCTTTTAAGTATCGCGTGTGCGATTTCATCGTGCAATTTATCATTTTGTACTGATTGAATGGATTCGAGGAGGAGAAAAAAAAACGTAATATAATCTGAATTTTCAATTAACCTTCTATAGTGGATGGTTGCGTGAAGAATATACGGCCTGTTTCACTAAAGTGAATTATCCTCGATTTCGGATAATCCACTTCAGTTTTGTGGAAATTTCTTTAGACGCTCAAGGTTATTAAGAGATCTAATGTGTGATCTAGCAAGAGTACTTTGCTACTTAAATTAACATATACTTAGAATTTTTATATCTTCACTAGTTTGAGAATTATAGCAAAAATTGAAGTTAATCTACTA